GGGAAGGAAGGGAGGAAAAAGCAAACAACTAGAATGTTCACAGTCAGTTCCTAAGCTGGACTAGACATCACCAGCCTGTCCAATGTTATCATTAAGTGGGGTTTGGGCATCCTCACTGCCTGAGTAGCTAATTTTCCTCTAGGCATCCCTGGAAACCTCTAAATATTGCCATACTGTGTCTCTTTATAACAGTTCAAAGACATAATTAGATACACAGAGCAACAGAGTACATGAGAACTTCTGTAGTTTAAATGTGTGTGTTTGGGACTTAGAAAGTTTTGAAAATTCTTTCATTAAAATATCACCTCAGGAAATTAAAGAAATAAAAATGGAGAATCATAATATCACAAGGAGAAAATTTTAAGTTGTAAAGCAAGCTAGCAGCATGGCGTTGAGGAGAGGTGGCCGTACCTGAGGCTGCTAGCTTTGTAGAAACCCATTAAAATAATAACATGGGGGGGGGATGCCAGCAGGAAAATTTTAAGAGAAGTCTGGAGAATGTCATGCATAGCAATGGCCATTTTTTTTATCCTGAGCATACTACTTAATAAGCTTTATTTCTCTGAGTGTCAACCTAAAGTCAGTTCACCTCAATGGCATCTCTGGCAGATCTTTTGGCTTAAGACATCAGGGGATTGCTTCTTACAGCGATATCCTCCCCAACAGCCACGACTGGTCCATCTAGCCCTGGAATGGATATGGAGAGCTGTAAGGGGTCTTCTTTCTTCAGATCCAGTAGAAGCCATTAAATAGTGTGTGATATTTTGATCAGAAAGCAAAATCAAAGAAACCAAGGTAACATACAACACAAAAATAGAGTTGAGCTGCTAAACAAGTCAGAGAAACTCAACAGTACTGCTCCAGAGATCATCCTGGTCACTGGGACAGATGTCAATAACAGTAGGACATGGTCAGAAACACTGGTGTTTTTGTAGTATATGTTGTCATATGTATCCTTGTTGGAATTTATTAAGAGATTTTAAGCATAATTTTAAGAATGGACATTAATAGGAAGAGACACAAGAAAGGTTGAAACATATCTAAACCTGGTTGAGGACTTTTCAAAAGAAAATCATTCCTAAGTGTCTTAAAATAGTCATATGTAAGATTTTGGTGGTTTCTGAAGCTACAACTCCAAGTATTTCTCATAACTTTCTCCCTCTTTTGGTGAATGAGATCCTGAAGTGCCTTGGACAGGATTGCACGGTTTCCAGGTTTCATTTCTGTTTCTGTGATAAAATACCCTGAGAAAGCAACTGTAAGAGAGAAAGATTGTTCGGCTTACAATTCTGTTACTGGGGGAAGTCAGGACAGGAGTTTGAAGCAGCTAGTTACATCCAGTCAAGGGCATAGAGAAAAGAATGTGTGCCTGCCTGCTGCTCAGCCTACTTTCTCTACTCTTAAATAATTTAGGACCCAGAACCAGGGAATTGTGCCTCTCACTTTTAGACTGATTCCTCCTACATCAATCAATACAATCAAGTTAAACCCCCACAGATATGGCCTCATGCCAACCTGATCTAGACAGTTTGCACTGAGACTCTTGTCAGGTGATTCTAGATTGTGTCAAGTTGAGATTTAGAAAACAAATCACAAGGTTGCACATGCGAATTAAGATATGTCTTTTACTGTAAGTGGTATTTCTTTTGCATGTGAAATTCCCAGAAAACTGCAGATTTATAGTTAGAAAAGCAGAAAGACCATAATTTGTCATATGTACTTTGGCCTTAAGCATGGCTCTTTACTGTTTTAACAATCTTATTTAAAATATATATATGTGTATGTTTTATATAAATTGTCTCTATAAATATAAAAATATTATTGTCTCTATGTCAGCAGTTTTCATAGAAAAATTTTTTAATACTACTGGAATTCTTAACTCTCAGCTAGTGAGAAACTTCAACCAGACTCCAGCGTAAAGGACTCTTTTCCTTTCCCATGTCCCCTTAATTTTCCATGTCTTCCTGTCCTGCCTCAGCACCACTAAATCAGGCTCATTTTTTACTCTGATGTACATTAATGCAGTTCTGCTGCTTTATATACATGTTCTGAATATGCAAGTATGTATACTATATAGTATATGTATGTATCTATTACATGAAGTTTGAGCTTAGCTTCACAAAGGATGTCATAAAGGGAGAAAATAGTTTTTCTCTACCTTTTAGATAGATTGATAAGGCAAAAGAAAAAGGTAAAGTTAGGAGCTTGTATATCTCAGATGTTTATGGGAGATAACCCCCCAAAATAAGGAGATAGGTTTGTCAGTTGTAATTTGGATTAAAAGCCTTACCTCTGAGGGTACTGATGCAGGAATATCAGAGTTCTCCCTGAGGGTTCTTAATCTCATTAACAAAAGAATGTAAGTATGGGCTCAAATAGAAGTGTAAAAACAATTTTAGATTTAAAAGGAAAATCTCCAGATAGGCAGGCTATAAATCTCAGCATCTGCCAGGAAGAGGAGAAAAGACTGCTGGACGAAAAAGACCATGCCATTTAAGTCAGCACAGAGGTCAGAAACATGACAAATTAGCAACACATGGTGGGGAGGGCTATAGATAAAAGAGTAGGGAAGCCCAAAATGTTGGGAAGCCCAAAGTATTAGGGTAAGTATGCTTAGAAAATAAATAGAAATAAAAAAGGAGAGGTTACATTTTTCTGAAATTTTCAGTAAAACAGGCAGACTTACAAAGTTGCATTGGGGCAAGGATTCTGGGCAGGAAAAGGCCGTGATCTCATTAAAGCACTAATTATTCTACTTTATCCCTTTAACATGACTTAAGGTGAATCTACCTTCTCAGAGTTGGTCCTTTAGGCATGTGATTGGTATGACTCAACTAGAATGTTAGATCTCCACCTAGACTAGTGAGTCAATTCTACTGACCAGACATTTCTTCTTTTTAAAATATTTATTCATTAAAAAAAATTTTATTTTATGTGTATGAATGTTTTGCCTGCATATATGTAAGTGCATCATGTGGGTGCACTACCCATGGAGGCCAGAAGAGGGCATTGGAACCCCTGGAACTGGAGTTATGGAGAGTTGTTAGCTGCCATGTAGGTGCTTAGAACTGAGCCTGGGTCCTCTGCAAGAGCAGCCTAGTGCTCTTAGCCACTGAACCATCTTGTCATCCCGAAGGAGTTTCCTCTTAATGGGCCTTTGTTGTTACTATAACAGTACCACAGGCTCTCTTCATTCATGTGTCTTAATATACCAATCAAAGAGATAAATAGTGATAAAGAACAGAGAAGGAACTTTCACAAATGTAGCCATGTAGGGAAGAACAAATAAAGTAGGTCAGTGTCCCCAAGACCATCCTAAATGTGTTGGCTGCAGGTTTAGATTTTGTAAAGAGGGAAAGAAATGAAATGGTTGGAGTCTGTAAAGCCAACAAAGCATGGCAGAAATTCTGAAGTTATCACTGTCATCACTTAAGGGCAGTGCTTGGGTTTCCATGTTGTCAAGCATGGGCAAGTGCCTCCATTTGGGGGTGTTGTTGTTTGAATAGGCTCTTGCTTTTAACACTTGGTTCCTGGTTGGTGGTGCTGTTTGGGACAATTATGAACTTTAAAGAGATAGTGACTTGCTGGAAGATGTATGCCACTGAGTGTGGTCTTCAGGTTTATATCCTCTCCACACCTCCTGTGCTTCCCTCTCTGCTTCCTGTGTGTGGATGAAATGTGACCGCTCTGTTTCCTGTCTGCCAGTCTGGCCTCATGCTTCTCCTACCATACCTTCCACACCATAATGGACTGTATCCCCTCTGGAACTGTAAGCTGAAATAAACACTTTTCTCCTACAAGGTGCTTTTTGTCAGTGTATTCTAGCACAACATTCAAAATGTAACTAACATAGGTGGTAATCTCATAGTGGGGTCCCCTGTTCCTCAAGACATTTTGCTTCATGCGAATAGTTTTGATCTTTTGTCATAAAGATGGTTATTGATTAGTCCTGTGGTCCCAGAATCTAACATAGTGCAGAAGAGAGTGGCCCAGGAGGATTAAGAGGTAAAGAAGAGTCAGAGAGGCTCAAAATAGAGTGAGATAGGCCAGTGACTGGGCTCTCCATCAGCTTGGAAATTCAGCTTAAATACAATAGTCCCTCCCTTATCTGTGGCTTCATTTTTTTGTGTTTTCAGATATCTACAGTCACCTGTGATCTGAAAATATTAAGTGGAAAATTCTAGAAACAGACAATTCATGTTTTAAATTGCATACCATTTTTAGTAGTCTAATGTCCTTTGCTTGCCCAAAGCATGAGTCGTCACTTGGTTGATCTTGGTTATCAGATCATTGACTATACAAGAGGCCAGTGTTCATACTCAAGTAACCCTGATTTTTTTTGTATCTGTTAGAAAAAACAGTAGACTCTACACAATTTTGAAAACTAACAGGTCGTGAAATGCACTCCCCATGGAGAAGGTAGTTACTGTCCCAGTATCCATTGAAACAAAGAGAAAGAGAAGGTCTGGTTGTGGGGAGACGACCAAGCAAACAAGGATCAGGATTGTGTAGGTTTGCCATGGTGCCTTCTCTATGGATCAGAGGCTCTTAATATCTTGCCCTCTTTCTCTACCTGGTAGAGGGAGACGAGCATACAAATGGATTTCCTTTTCAGATGCAAATTTTCCTTACAAAAGACTAACTTTTACTTTGTTTTCAGAGCTTCTCCCATGTCTGCAGTTTCTCAAAATAATCAGCTCAAAATAATCCTTATGCCAAAAGGCATATTTTGGGGTGGCATATTTTAGTCTCCTACAATGCCTTCAGAATGATTTAAAAATAGAGGACAGTTTAAACTAAAAATTTCCCTTGCCTACTTAACAAAAAAATTTCACCAACTGTTAGATATATATTTTCAGCATGCAAGATGAGTTTTCATTCATTTTGGAGTTGTATGGTACATATATGTTCTTACTTGATGCTACTTGGTGCCTCTAGAATTAGACTAGATATGCAGATTTATAAAATTGCTTGTAAAGTACATTAACTTGTTTACACAGCATTGGAGAGCATGGAAGGATATTACTATAGAGACAATGTTTCAGTGGAAGAATTTCAAGCCCAGGTAAATGCAGCCTCCTTGGAAAAGGTCAAACAGTACAACCAGAAGCTCAGGTATGTAACGGCCACTTCGGCTGATCTAGGTTTTTTTTTTTTTTTTTTTAATTAGGCTGTATATTTTGAACACATGAATAGGATTTGTGACATTTTCATTGTTAGATTATTGATGATGATTTTTTTATATAAATTTCTCTTTTACAATGTTTAATATGTTGAATACCCTGATGGCTATACTCATTTCAAGTAAAAATGATTAAGAAAAAATGATTTGGAAATTTTTGTGCTAAGAATTGAATTTCTAAAAAAGATAAAGAGATGAGATTAAATATATAGTGGACTATTTCCGGGGGGTGGGGGATATCACAGATGTATCTTACAAGGGAGTCCACAAAAAGGGTCATTGAATTGTATGTAAAGTACATTCCTTCATGTACCATTGAACAACTCACCCCTCACACAAGGAGAAGATGGGTTCCATATGAGGATATGACAGCTATGTGTTTGTTACTGGAAGAACTCTGCATTCAAATCAATAATGCTTGCCATTTAATATTATATTTCTCCCTACAGGCATTGTTGCTGTTGTGGCCATGTGATCAATCTAGGAGTGTGGTTATGGTACAGGGGAGGAAGAGCATCCCCGAGAGAGCTTTTAGTCTCATTCATAAAATAATTTAAGAATGGACTCAAACAGAAGCTTTAGGAATTATACTAGAATTTTAAAGAAAAATCCTCAGGGCAGGCAAGCTGGCCATCTCAGCAGCTGCCTTGAGGAGGAGAGGGGAGGGGAGAAGGCAAAAAGCCACGAGGCTGTGCAGGTTTAGAGCCTGCATGGAGGTCAGACACATGACAAACTGGCAGTCATGTGGCACAGAGAAAGATACTTTAGAGAACAAGTACAGAAATACAAGGTGCCAGGGCAACCCAAAGCATTAGAGAAAGCATGCTAAGAAAAGGAGAGATTATGTATTTATGAAGAATTCAGAAATGCAGACAGACTTACAGAGAGCCTCCACGCCTGAAGCCAGGTCCACAAGTACTGCTCTGGGAGGTGGGATTCCAGGCAGGAAAAATTCACTATCTCATTAACTCACTAGGTATTCTACCCATCTATTTAGCATGACTTAAGGTAGACCCACCTTCCTACGGGTGGTCCTATATCTAGGTGATTGACCAGCGAAACTGGAAAGGTAGGTCTTCTGTCAGGTAGACTAGAGATTTTATTTTTTGACCAGTTTGTTTCTCAGCCAATTACAGAATGAAAGCTCATACATCCACATACACACTCTCATGGGGAGAGAACCCAGAGACCGAGAATCCGATATCCCCTGGGGAGGGCCTGGGTTTTAATTTTGGATTGGTCAACTTAAACAAAGAAGAGAAAGGTGATCAATATTCCCAGGGCTATGTGACTCTAAGCAGGCAGTTGAAGGGACCTGTTGAAGTTGAAAAATAAGGGCTTTCTTCCTGACAAAGAAGGATCAAGTGAGCCATCATTATTACTTACTCTTCAGTGACCCTGTTTGCTTACTAGGGATTTAGTCCCCTCCAGGCTTGGAGGCCACTAGGGATAGACCCCTCACTCATGGTCAGTTCTGAACCCTACCTCCTGTTTATGAAGAAAAACTAGAAAAGGAAAACATCAGTTTTGCAGCATCTTTGGATTTAAAATACCACATGAAAAGGTAGAGGTCAAAAGAATGGAATCTGAGCTCTACTTCAGGCCCTGGATAGAAACGTAATATTCTGATCTGCCCTAAAGATTAGAACATTCCGTGCTGTTGTCTTCTCCAGCTGGGCCTGTCAGTGACCTGGCCAAGAGACCACCCATGGGAAAGTTGATTCGCCTGAAGATAGGCTAAGAAGATGGGAGGAATAATTAGCCCCTCAATGAGATGATATACTGACATTTCCCAGAAGTTTCTCAGTGGCTCTTCCATACAGCACTGCTAAGCCTGTCTACCTTTTCTGAGTTAAAACTCAAAGTGGGTATCTTTTCTTCCTTTCTGTCTCTTTTTCTCATGTGGGTCCAAAGCCTAAGAATTCCTTCCCTGATACTCTGAGCTTCCCTGCTCTTTCTCTGAAGGCATACCACGCCCATCACTCCCACCACGTGACTGCTTGCTGACCTCCGTTGCTGAACTTGCATTGCTTTCTTGAACCATTATTCAGAATGGCGTGACTTGAGATGCCACAGGTGTGAGCGTTGTTTCTGGTGATTTTCTTCTACTAGCGATGCATCACCTTCCTCCATCCAGCTTCCACACACCACTCCCTTCTCCCATGAGATCTACTTCATCCATTATTTTATCATTTTTCAAAGCTTTAAGACCCCATTGTGTTTTCAATTACTCATTTTCTCTTCCTCTGAAAGTCTACTCTGAGATCCTAAGGATTCAGGCTTTATTTAGTAGTGTAACTATCTTATAGTACTCCACTCTTATTTTCTTGTCTTCATCAAAGGTATATAACGTACTGACCCTTTTTATAGGAAAGAAAAAATTTAATCTTAAATTCATAATAAATGTTATTCTTACTTCCCTGAAAAGAAACATTGGCTTAAAAAGCTCAAGTTCAATCTTGAGAAAGTCTTTCCATTGACAGTTGTTACAGAGAAGAATTTTGCCTTCATAACTCATAAAACATATTCCTAGTTTATCTTCGAATTAGATACAAAATTGAAGCATTTGTATAGAGTTCCAGCCCTGAGTGTACATCCCTAAAGTTGGTTTGAGGAAGTGGGTCATTGCTGTGGCATCCTAGTTAATCCTTGCTTCAAAGCACTTTTGTTGTACTAATCTACTCACTCTTGTGTTTCCAGAACATGTCACTCTCCCTTCCTGCTTAAAAGGCTTTGATGATTCAGGAGCAATAGTTTCCCAAAGGAATCACACCTCCTTAGCATGGCAGTGAAGATCTTTCCTGACCTGACCCTGCACTTCTTTCTCTATCAATGCAGCAGGCATGCTCTCCTTCCTAGTTACGTCCCATACTTTCACACTCATAATTTCTCATTCTTCATTAGCATCTGCCTCCTCTGTCTCCAACTCTTGAGAAAACCATGATTATGATTCATCTTCCCACTTTACTAGAATCTCCGTTGTATTCTTTTGTTATGGAGCTGGAGTGAATCCTTGGTACTAGACATTTTAGAGGATGCTGAGTTTACTGTGCAGATAGAATCGAAGACCAATTCCCAAGTCAGACAGTCTCAGAGGATAAGCCTCAGGCCAGCAGTATTATTGTCACCTGCAAATTTGTTAAACACTCTTATGTGGACTCTACTGCCTAGGTTAGAAATGCTGCCCCCATTGTTCTTTCAATACTCAAATTTCACAATTATTCAACCAGACCTAAATGACTAGGGATTCTGCTTCCTGCATATTGGTTTCTGTTACAATAATTAGAATCGATGTTTTTCTCTTTAATGGTAAGTTATTATGTACTTCTCACATTTATTGTAGTATGAGTTCACGGGATGAGGAATAAACTCTCTTTGGTGCCAGCTACTGTATTTATCAAAATGTATTTGTATAAAAAGTTCTCTAAAAATGTGTGTTTAACTGCAATACTGTGTTAGTTACTTCCGTGTGACTATGACCTCACAGAAACTATGTATAGGAGGAGGTTTATTTTGGCCCATGGTTCCAGAGGATGCAGTTCATCATGGAGGTGCAGTTCCAGGAATGTGAGGTGTTGACTTTTTACATCTTGGTGGGTAGGACATAGAGAGTGCCAGCCAGAACCAGAATCAGAGGCAGTTGTAACATTTAGAGACCCAATACTAGGGACCTACTTCAGTCAACTAGGGCCCACACAGCAAAGTTTCCACTTCCAAGGCAGCAAGCACCACCAGCTGGGACCAAATGTTCAAACACATGAGCCTGTGGGGGAGATGTCACATTCAAAGCATAACAACAATATTTATGTGCAACTACCAGAAGGAAGTGGGGGTGAGACTTAGCATCCTCACCCCTGTGAGTCTGCTTTAAACAGAAGTATAATATATACACATATATAACATGTTTGGCAGGATGCTGATGAATGACGATGAAGAAAGCAACACAGGTATCACATGCTCTCCTACGCTCAAAAGAAAATATTATTCTGTATCTTTCCTCAGGAAAGGTTTCTTAAAAGTAGAAAGACCTTGATGATAATTAAGTATCCTTGCCCATAATGACCTGCCTTCTATCCTGCTGGTAGCATATTAGATTTCCTTTGCACAGGAAGGCAATTATCTTTCTACTCCCTTCCAGTAGCACCATGTCTATACCTGCTTGTTTCTTGAATAGGTTGTCAATTTCTTTAATTTTTCCTGTTTCTTTGTAAGCAGAGATACTTATTTGTTGCTCTTTGGAAATCTGTGTTTTGTTTTACAGAGCCAGGAGCTAACACTGACCATTTCAAGAGCACTTCCTGCCCTGCTTAAAAAATGGCTTGTTAGTCTTTCCTCATAACTAGCCCCCTTTTCACTCTTTCACTAAAACCCATTTAATTCTGGACATTAATTAATTTATGAATTAGACTCCAGAAAATCTTTTTCACCTTAGTCTGTGTGATTAGAAAGCATTCTTTAGATTCAAGTTTCTGAAACCAAACTCAGGCTAGCATAAGTAAAATAAAGTATTGGTTGTCTAGTGAGGACATCCAGGCAACGTGGTGGTTCAGGCACAGCTGATCTGAGTATGAGCAGTCTTCTGAATGCTGATTCTCACTTCATCTGTTGGCATCCCTTTTCCTCTCTGTGGGATTCATTTTACTCTCTCATTTGGGCAAATATGGTCACTATGGACCTGTGCTACACAGTGAAGGGGAGAAAGTCCTCCCTCCACTCCACCAACTCCAGTAAAGAGCCTGGGAAGTGCTCTCTAGCCAGGGCCCAGCCGTCTGCCCCTGTCTGAGTGGCCTCAGCAACACAGACTATCAGTAAGAGGGTGTCAGATGCTCAATAAGTAGAAACAATAGACTCTGCTGCTCTAGAGCAGCCAAGAACAGGTGGAACTAAATTTCCATCTAATAGAAAACTGCAGCCATCATACTTACCAAGTTTT